GACATCCCACATCATGTGTGTGTGTGTGTGTGTGTGTGTGTGTGTGTGTGTGTGTGTGTGTGTGTGTGTATGTACATGTTAGGGTGCAGTGATCTCAGAAACTGGGCGATTGCATTTCATCTTTTGGAGTTGGAGTTATGGGGGGTGTTAGCTGCCTGGTGCTGTGTGGTTTTAAGAACTAAACTCAGTTTCTCTTGAGGACACATAATCTCTGAGTCATCTCTTCAGCTACAATATGATGTTTCAATGGCAGTGTCTAAAAGAATCAAAAAGAGCTAACATGCCTACACACTCAACACATGTATTTTTCATACGACAGATCAATTGCTTTCTACCTTTTCTCTTACTTGGCCTCAAATCCCTCTACTCTTATGCAGCCAAAATTTAGAAGTAAAGCCATACAGTGAAGCATTTTATCACTGCCCGTGTGTGCTGTGTTGCTGAAAGAGTTGTTTAATATGCATGTGTTCTTACAGTGGTTGAAAACTAAAAGAATATAATACTAAAACATAACTAGGAGGAACTGGCCGTGTACACTCCTTTATGGTCCACATGGGACACCGAAGTGATGGGATCAGATAGCAGTCACCAATGAATGACTAGAGTTTGCCTACAACTGAGCAGAGCTTCCCAGTGAAATGTAAAACAGACCAAATAAAATGTTGACTCAATTAGCATCTTCCCATGAGCTCCTGCGGTACTCTTGAATATGAAAACCAGATTGAGGGAGATCCCTCTAGAAGATGCTCATGCTGGGAGCTGAGGAAAGTGTATTCTTAACAAATATCTTGACTGATTCATATGAAAATCCACAGTTTATAAAAACTGAAGCTTAAGGAAAATAGACACCCCTCTCTTCTTAATTCCACCCACATCAGAATTAAACATCACCCAGTAGACATTATAATGGCTCAGAAGACTGGGATTTTCAATGTATCTTGGTATGATTTGCTTGAGCCATTGAAATTCTTAGACGTTTTCTAGGGTGTTTCGGATATGGGTTTGCCATTGAAATTTGAAGGTTATCAGAGAGAAATTCAATGAAGATAGAGGCTACATGGAAGTTGCTCAGCTCTGTTGCTTTTAGGGTCCAATAGGGTACTAGGAGAAAGCAAGTGGGGTGGAGTGTATGTAATTTGCTGGGCCTCCCTCTGAGACACATGATGCAATAACTGCTTGAGGAAATGACTGACACCAAGGGCAAACAAGATCTTCCAATAGGATTCATTGTAGTAGGAACAGCAATAAAAACCCAGAAAAGTAGACCTGCTTAGCTGAGGTTTTACTTCATTGTGTCTACAGCAGAGCTAAGCATTTGGGAGGAGTAGGAGGTACTTCCCATTTATAACAGTAAATCACTGCCCAGAGGACTTAGAGTTCTCAGGGAATACCACATATGAAAAGAGATTTAGTTTCAATCACCTCTCACATTATAGAGTGTAGGCGTTTAAATAGTTTCAATATAAAAATTTATAAAATATTCTATTTTATGTGTACGGGTGTTTTGACTGCAAGTATATCAGTGTACCACATGCGTGCAAGGCCTGATGAGTCCAGAAGAGGGTGATGGATGCTCTGGAACTGGAGTTACAGATGGTTTTGAACTGTAATGTGGTTGCTTCCAACTGGGTCCCCTGAGAGAACAGCCAGTGCTCTTAATGTCTGAATCATCCTTCCAGCACTTCACAAAAGCTTCTTGTACTTCAGTGTTCAAAGTCTGATTGGAAAACAGGCACACAAAATGGCAGATATGTTGATTTAAACATACCAAGCACAGTGGAAGCCTGTGGAAATCTGGGTTGTATTGTGGTACATCTCAGAAGGCTTCAGACTGTAACATATGAACAGATGGATCATAGAAACTTGACATGAGAAGACATGGCATTTTTAGAAGTGGGAACAACATTTGCAAAGTCCATGTGGGAGACATGAAGAAGGTTCAAGTTATGGAAATGTTTGCTGAGAAAGTGAGGGACATGCTGAGAAGCTGAATAATACCTAAGAAAGTTCTAACTTCCTAAGCACTGAGATTTTATTGTCTAGGTCTACAAAGGAAAATAAAAACCTCAGCTTTAACAAGTTTTTCAGGTAAATATTACTAAAATAGTATGACGTTCAAAGCTTAGAAAGCCTTGAGGTGTTTCTAACGAGATACCGACGTGGTTGTTTTGCTGCGAAAGTTCCTTTTGAAACTGTGTGGAAGAGGAAGTGAAAGTAGCAATACTCTAGAAGAAAGGTTGAAGACACAAGACAGGAAAATGGTAGCTGTTAATTAAATAAATTATAGGAAGAACAGAAAGCGAATGGAGAAAGGAACAATGAAAAGAAATATATTTCTGTTGCCCTAACTACTGCTGTGCAAGGTGAAGCAAGAGAGAAAATAGCCGTGATAGCCGCCGCATGAGAAACTGTGTCAAAGTGTCAGGCAAGTTAAGAGGATCTGGAATTACTTAAAAGTAATTAAAGTTGGCAGTGTAGCTTTTGAGGAAAGTAATTTCTTTGAAGTATGCTAAATTGAGTAAATACCTGAACTTAACCATGCCTATAGTCAAGCAGTAAACAGATTTATCTGAGAAATCCTGAACATTAAATTTTAAGTTTTAAATCTTTTGTATCTTTATTTGCAGAAATTGTCCCCTCAAGGTTATTATTAAGGAAAGACAAAAGGTAAGGGACAGTTATGAGTTTATTTTTTAGATCATCCAGGCATGTCCTTTGATAGTTGTGATAAACCCACCTAGTGTACCACGTTCCAGGCTCCCCTTCACCAGGACAAAGCACAGTTGAGTTACCAAGTGTAATTTTTTTGGATAAAACTTCTTTTTCAAAGTAAACTCCAGTGCAAGGAGGTGATTACAAAGGCAATGAAGTGTGGCCCAAAGGACGTAAATGGAGTGGAAAGACATACTGTTTCATAAGCCTATCTCTAGAATAGTCTTGATCTTTTTTTACTCTAAACTTTGGTTCATATCACCCTTCTTAATTATATTGAATTTGCTATCATATTTTGAAACACGTCCATCTTAATCCAAATATCAAAATTACATATGTCATGAAGGCAGAAGTTAGAGTTGCCTTGGTTATAACACAGAGTTCTGGCTTTGCCAGAAAAGTAGGTGTGTGTGTGTGTGTGTGTGTGTGTGTGTGTGTGTAAGAGAGAGACAGAGAGAGAGGAAGAGAGAGAGAGAGAGAATAAGAATTATTAAAGGCTTAACTCTAGATATTTGGCTTTGAGTATGGGAACAATTATGGAGACTTGTTAGGGACATGTTCTTATAACTGTTGCTGAAGCTTATTGTCTCTAGTTAAAATAGTGGGGAGGAAAATGACAAGCAAAAAGAGAGAGCATTGGGACCCATTGATATAAGACAGAACTCCACATAATGGATTTGACTCCCTGGAAGTTGTTGATTCCCATGATGGTGGTGGTATGAATATTCTAGAGTCAGAAGGCTGCTTTTTCTGTCAATCAAGGAAGATAAACTTAAATGCCAGATAAATAGGAAGCTATCAGAAAGGAGTTTATACTCTCATTAGCGTTAAACAGAGTCTTCAACATACACTGCTACCTTTGTTTAAGGGTTCTAAATCTCCCACAAGAAGTAGCCCAATGTAGCCAGAAATATTTAGGGAATGAGATTGTGGGAAATGTAATTCAGCCCTAGTATGTGATCTGTAACAATTCCCTACACAGTAGGCACTTCACTGGCATTTACTGAATGAATGAGTAGATGATGACCATGGCAGGGTGCAGGCTTACCAAAGACTGAAATAAATCTAAAAAGAAAGGATGATCTAATTGTTAATCACTTTTTTTTTTCTCAGAAGATAACATGCTAAGCCAAATTAAAACAACATACAACTGTGTGCCTTCTCTGTCTCCCTCTCTCTGAGCCTCTCTTAAATAGGTACACACACAGGTAAGCACACATTGCACTCATAAATACAGTCCTCTTACTCTTTAAGAAGTGTGAAGTGTGTGTAATGAATTAGTTGGAACAGCCCTGTCCCAGTTTCCAGGCGATAAACTCGCTCCTGTAATAACTACAAAGCCTTTACAGTAATGGCATATGAGTTGGAATTTGTAAGATGAAATTTTTGGCAGTTCATTAGTAAATTTGGGCTTTGCCTCAGCCTTAGGGAACAGAAGGGATCCCAGAAGGTACAGCAATCAGCAGATGAACTAACCCTCCCCTCAGTAATGTGAAATGCTATTTTAGCGGAATTAAACAATGAGAAATAAAGCCTGGGAAATGAAATAATAGCTCATTAAAAATAATCTTTTTGAGTTATGTGGGATGGGAGAGAATATGTTCTAATCACCACTATGATTCAAACGCGTTGTGTAGTTGTTTCAAGGGAGTTTTGCTGTGTGCTCCCCAGAAGTTCTGTAACACTTTGCAGCTAAATGTTACAAAGTCCACAACACACTTTAATTCAGCGTTGTTGTGTCCCTGGCACCTAGGAGGGCTAGCCTGTTTCAGTCTTCAAAAGTAGTTGTTGGACAAATAAATAAGAAAATTAATTAAGGGAATTTTAGACAAGGCACAGGGGCTATCTACTCCATCAGTTTGATATGGTGTGAAGAACTTAATTGCTGATTAGCTTGATATAATGTAACTAACAATATTATACAATAGGAACTTGCTTAGTGTACAGACTAGCCAAGTAGAGTGTTTCTACCAGCAACCGGAACCCCCAAAGACACTTAAAAATTCAGAGAAAAGCATGAAGACTGAACTTGAAGGTATCCTGGAACTTTGAGGAGTGTGTGGTCAGTTTTACCTGCTTAGTGGCTTTGACTGCACAATATTTAGACGCCTGAAAAGCAAAGGGCACACTTTTTTGTTTTAATTCTCCTCTCTGCTCCCCTCTCTCTCTCCCTGGCCTAAGCCTTTATTTTCAGAAAATAATAAAAACAAGAAGGCGGGAGTGGGTTAAAAGAAAGCCATGGGTTACTGTTAGTTAATAAAAGTTAACGGCCAAGTTGGCATGCTTACCTACTCATTCTTCCATTCAGCTGGGACCCAGGGAGAATTAGGACCCGAGAACCACTCCTCCTGTTAGTGCTTCTGTGTCAAAAGAGGCTAATAGTGATTTAAAGATGCCAGGGCATGGTGGTAGACCCTGTGTGAGTACCATATCTTCATGAGTTCCTGGATTTTAAAAAAAAACAAAAGTTACCTGGTGGGTTGTAAATATATAGATGAGTTTAGCAAAAAATTTTTTTGTACTTTGTGCTTAGGATCTTTCTCTTAAAACTCTGTTTGACCACTTGAAGTAACACCAGCTGGTGCCTGGGGCTCTTACGCTTCTGTTCTGGGCAGAGGAATGAGTACTGAAAACAGCCAATGCTAGAAAAGAAGTTCCTACAAAGAAAATACACCTTTTACTGAATGCAGAAGAGAAGAAGAATTTAAAAAATCTATGCTAATAGGTTAGAAGATAAAAGATGTTTAATTCTCTTTTATGAAAGAGGATCTGAGACATATTAACAAAGAAAGGGAAATCATAAAAAGAACCAGTGGAAACCCAGCAATAAAAGCTGATAAGAGAAAGAACTGATTTTGAATCAAACTATGAGGCACATGAATCGAGAGAGAGAGAGAGAGAGAGAGAGAGAGAGAGAGAGAGAGAGAGAG